GGACAGAGGCAGGTCTGGCGGGTCTGCCGGGTTCGTCGCCTGAAGATGGTCGGAGGTGCTCGTCCCTTCGTTGCCGCCGTCGTAAATTGGCGGCTGCCGTGCGTATCTCGGCGGTTTGGGTCCACGGAACGGAGGTCGCCGGCCGGGTTAGGGATCGTCGGTCTCCTCCTTCGTCGTCGGACCTCTCTGCGGACAGGGCTTCGGGGATGGCTGTGGCTCTCCGGAAACGTACGGATGTCGCCGGAGATAAAGAAAAACGGAAGGAAGAAAAATTTTTCATTTATTTATGGCCAGTGATTGGAAACTTCAGGAAGAAAAACATGATGAAAAAATAACAGTGATTGAAAACTGATAGGGGTTGCTGTTGGATTTATAGCCATTGGATCTAGTTTTAGTTTTATCTGATCCAAAGGCTGTAATTTAACAGCTGGGGCTGCTGTTAGTGGGTCACAGCAGCCACCCTCAACCCCGAATTTTCAACTTTTTTATTTGAAGGTTTTAATTTTAAGTTATTTTTAATATAAATCTTATTTTTTATTTTATCTTTCAGTTTATGACTCCGAATCACTTTATATATTGATATAATTATGTAAACTAAAATACTTTTAAAAACAATATTTTTAAGTATTTATAATAAAAAAATATTAAACTTATTTTACTAAAATTACCTAATAAGATAATTATTTCATAATTTACATTTATGCAAAAGTTTAATGAATTTTATTTTATCAGATAAAAAATAATTTAACTTAATTTTAATCTAAATATGTGATATTATTAAAATATAAACTATTTAGAAAACTAATTTTATTTTTTTAAATAAACTTATTTAAAAATATTATTCCAGAATAAAATTTATAATGTTGAAAAATTAATATCTATAATAAAAGTATTAAATATATTTGTAAAACTAGGTTCGTAAAATATGCTACATTTATGCAAAATTAATTTAGCTTAAATGGATTAATTTTATTACTAAGGTATTATCACAAAATATTTAATTATTTAAAATAAATTTCAGAATAGTAGTATTCTGGTTTACATATTTATGTAGAAATAAAAAGTGATTTGAAGTCTTAAATAAAAAGTGAGAAAAAAACAAAAGTGATTTAGAGTCTTAAATAAAAAGTGATTTGGATCATTTGGGGGTGTTTCAGTGGGCAGGGCATGGCTCGATCTGCTCGCTGCGATTTTGTGGTGGTGGCCGGAGTTGTGACTCGGTTCAACCCCTTTTCTCCCATGTACTTTGGTGTTGGGTCAGGGGAGGCCGGTGTTCTGCCTTCCGGTTAGTGGTGTTAGCCGAGGTAGGGCAGTGGTGTTGCTGAGGGAATTCTGGGTGTTCCGGTGGCTGGGAGGCGACTGTGCTGATGGTGATGGTCGAGGGCTCTGGTTGACGGTTGGCTTCGTGCTGCGGGTCGGAGGGGTGATGCGGGTCTGGGGCTGACCTCCATTGACTGGTTCGTGGGTTTCTACCTGAGAGAGTTTTGAGGCTGGAGTATCGGATCTTGTTAGGTGTTTTCTGCAGTTTAAGGTCTCGGTGCTTGACTCGGTCTGCTCTCTTTTGGGTGGGAGCCTCGGTTACGGTGGTGGGATTGTTGTGGATTTTGATCCTGTTGTAGAGGAGGGCTCTTATTTAGGTGTTTTTATTTGTTTCTTTGTGTTGTTAGGTTTCGTGTTTTCTTAGTTTGTTCTCTTTGTGTTCGTGTTTGTGTTTTGGTTTGGGCCGTTGGCTATGTGCGCATGAGTGCAACTTATCATCCTGTTAGAATCAGACACTCGGGTATTATCCTGTTGGGATCTTTTTCAGTAGTTCTCGTTTTGTTTGAGTAGTTGATTTTGTGTAGTTGCAAGTTTGTTATTCTAGCGTTGCTAGGTCAGGCTTTAGGCGATCTTTTGGATCTGCCTCTCAGTCTTTCAGCTTTGGTTGTACTTTTCAGCTTTTGGTTGCTTCTCTTCGCACTTTGTGCTTTTTTATTTATGTAATATCTTTATCGTTTCGGAAAAAAAAAATTAAGTTTATTATCCTTTTGGGAGTTGTATTCTCTTTTTGAGAGCTTGTGGGTGTGTTGTGCGTATTCGTCTAGGCGACCATTCAGGTTGCCCTCCCAAGGATATCAACTGTGTAGTTGCTCTTTTCCAGCTGTTATCTGCTTGTAATTATGTGTTCTATTTATGATAGTTTACCGTTTGAAAAAATATATATAACTTAAAATCACATTAAAATATAAATTATACATCACGTGCATCGCAGATGCAGTTTACCAATTACTCAAAGTATAGTACATTTGCAAAATAAGAACCATTAACCACTTTACTCATCATATTTAGTAAATTGATTTATTTTTGTAATAAAATTAAATAAGATCATAAAATTATCCCTTATTATTTTATGAAATCTTGAGCAGAAATTATGAAATAATGTGGGTCGACTTCGATTTATAAATTGCCCTCCTCAATGTGGGTCTTTGAACAAATAGACTTTCTCATTCTTCATATGAGACACGACGAGTCAGTAACCAAATCAAACAAAACAAATGTGTGATACGATACATACACTTTTAATGAAACTTATAATTATCACGGAGTGCGCTTATTGGTAGTACGAACTGAAATAAGAACTGAATAATGCGGAAGCAGAGAACCGAAGATTAAAAACTCTTCAGGGAAGTATCCCACTTCCCCTCAGAGCTCCTTCATTGATAGATCAAACATACACATAGCTTGGACTTACAAAGACTCGAACTCCCTTCAAGCCTAGCCAACACTACTCAGATCCTATCAACTATTTCTCCGGCCACGTCCCGTGGACTTGTTTATCCTACACTTACTCCCTAAGTGTAAAAGTAAAAGATAGTTTGAAGAAACAAAGAAATCCAAAACAAAACAGCTTCAGTCCTTGAGTTTGTAAGAACTCTCGTACTGAACTGTGTACAATTGATATTGAATAAAAGATAGAAAATACGAAGCTCAAGTATTGCTCTAAAAATATCTCCAAACTCAGCAGCAGCAATAAGAGCTTGCACTAGGGTATTTATAAGAACTCCTTAGGGTTGGAGTCTTCTACAAGGCATATGACTTTTAGTTTGATTTCCTTCCATGTGAATGCCATATCTTTGGCAAGTAAATCTCCTCTTCTCTCTCCATAATCTTCTTGACAAGCACGGCTCTTCCTTTCTTTATCTCTAGCACGTCCAATCTCCTACAAAATAAAATACCATAATAAGACCCACACTATCATATATATGGAATATAAAATAAACTTAATTAAAGAAAATAAAATATTTGAAGATCTTCCATTTTTCTGTGGTTCCAGGTGCTTGTTCGAACTAACGAACTAATGCCAAATTTAAAATATCTTTCAATTTCCCCCTTTGGCATCTAGTTCAAAAACAATAGACATGAAGGTCTCCTGAAATTAAAACAACAAGCACCAAGAAACAAATCACATTAAAGGGGTGAGTTCACAAAATAAATATACTCACAGTTCTCCCCCTTAGTACCTGCAGCATACACAACTTGACAATAAACAGAATAAGCAGAATAAGCATTCTAAATAGGCAGAATAAGCATTCATCAAAAGCATCAAAACACCTATATTCATAATACTAAAAAGTAGCAACACAACCACATCACCACATCACAAAAGCAAATAGTACGAGGTTCTTTATTACATAAAGACCTCCCTACATCCCTCAAAATACACAAAGAAGAAAAACAGCACTACTCCTCATTATCATCATAATAGTTCGCAATGGCATCATCAGTGCTATCTCCCCCAGAATCTGAGTCCCCATCAACAGCAACATGCTTCTTGCTTGCTTTCTCCCCCTTTTTCGAACTACGGGATGCCGAAGGGCCTGTCCCCGTGTTCTTTCGCTGCTTCCCTTTAACTGCTTGAAGAACCTGACGCAGATATGACTGTTGAGCAGCAACCTTCTTGGTTAAATCATCCCATTCACCCAACTGCTGAAGAACAAATTCTTCCCACTTGTTGGAAACCACTGAAGGGGTCAAGTCCTGCTTGGGAGCAGATTTCTCACTCAAGGTACGATTGCTCACAACCAGATCTTTACCAGGAGGCTTAAGAGAGTCATTGTACCGAGGATTCAAAGAGAAAGTCTGAGCAGTGAGAAAGGACCAGATCAAACAGGGAAAAGGTAGGGAACGACGAGACTCAATATTGGCAATAAATGGCTGGAGAATCTCAAACACAACCTCCCCAAAACTAAAGGGCTGACCCACCATCACCCAATAGATAACCTTGCTTTGCAATTCAGTGAGAAAGGTCTTATTGGACGTGGGGGTCCAATTCCCTGCACCCACTTTATGAAAAAGATTAGCAACAAGGCACAAAGAGTTAACATGAAGGTTAGATCCAGGCCAGGTATCAAGCTGATTGGCAGTAAGTACTTGAGTCACAACATCAAGATCAACACCAGGCAAAGGGGAAATATCAGAGGAAATACCCAAGTGAGCATTGATCAAAGCAGGCGAAAAATCGATAATACGGTTGCGCAGGAAGAGTTTATGAAAACGAGGACTACCAGGTTCAAAAACAGCAGGGGTAAGATTGGCAAAAAATTCACAAACAGCTTGGTCACAGAAAGAACTAAGATTCACAACAGTTTTAGACAACCCAACAGAATCAATTAGAGGAAGAACACCAAGGTCAACAAATTTCTCATCCTTAAGAGGATGTTCACTCCAAAACCCATAAGACTTAAGACGCTCAAACCTGATATGAGAGGCCTCGGTATAGAATCTGTTAGTAAATGCATTTTCAAGATCATAGGCGTCATCTTCTGGTTCCGGGGGCACCAGATTTTCATCGATGGGTTCCTTGCCTCTGCGGCGAGTGGAACGGCGCACCGGTGCCCTTGGAGGAGGAGTGGGTTGGTCTAAGTGAACCTCAACAGCGGTAGCAGCGGTATCATCCTTGTCGCCGTCGGTGACTGACTTGGTTGCAAAAGTCGGAACAGCAGACGACTCCCCCTGAGCATGAACCACAGAAGGCTCAACAAACCTAGAGAGGCCAGGTACTCCAGTGGCCAGGGGAGAGATTTCAAGATTCTTGCCCAAGTTGTCGGATTTAGACGGGGAACCAGACGGAGAGGAGGAGAGCGTAACAGATTTTGTTGGAGGAGACGATTCATGGGATGGAGATTTTGCCGGTGGAGTGGATTCTCGTGCAGAGCTAGTAGTGAGAGAGAGACGGCGGCGCTTCAACCTCTTTTCTTTGTGCTTCTTGAGCCGCTTCTTCGACTTATCCTTGCTTCCAGCCATGGGAGAAGAACGGTGATTGAGATTGAAGAATAGGGTTTCAGAAGGTTTGAAAAGAAGAATAAGAGAAGAAGATAATTTCAAACGAAAAAGGAATGATTGAGTGGTGGAGAATCGTGAGGGATATAAAGTGTTCTGACAAAGATAACTTCAAAAGGCGGTTTCCGAGATTCAAGGTGAGGAGAGAGAAAGAGACGTTTGCAAATTTGGGCGGTTGATGGCAAGAAACTGATCCCTCCATATCTGAAATTCAAACACAATACAACCTCTCACACAAATAACTTCTCACATTATTTTGAAATTTAGGAAAGAAATCAGATTTCATATTTAAGTATATATTCTCCACAAAATTTTAGACTCAAATAGATCATGTTCAAGAAGGAAATCATATGCAATTATGCCTAAATTATGAGAAATAAAAATAAGGAATAAAAATCGCACACAGAATACACTAGATTCGAAAAATCTTTTCCTTCTCAACTTAGAAAAAATCGATGGAAATAGCCCAAGATCAACTTTGATATTCAGACTTCCCAAGGAACATACGATAAACGGATATATGTATATACACAAGGTAGTGCGAACCACAACTTCAATACGGCAAGAACACATGCCTTATTATTCATAGTGTGTTTCACTTAGTAACAATCACTGCAATAGTGAAAGTCAACCCCACTACTTTGCACCACGATTTTAAGCAAGGATCCTCCACAATTTTTTTTTTTTATATATTAAATCAGCACTACGTTTTTTATGAGGATGACCACTTTATTGCTCCAAGTAAGAACATCACATAGTAATATGCAATGCGTGTCACTAGCTTACGCCCTTTCTCAACATTTTCTGTCCCAGACGCTCTTTTCACAGTCGATCCCGCATTGGGAAACGAACCATGTGCTAGCTATCGCTCTAGATCATTTATGAGAAGGCAGCTCTTTGTGACAAAAACCAAAAATATAGAAAATAAGTACGTTCCTCGGTACCATAAGAACATGCAGTCAATCTTAGAAAATCAACACCTCTCAAGTTTTCAGAAGAGTTAGAACTTCAATCAAGAATCCAGTGGTGCAGAGAATGCAAAATGCAAAATATGCCTAATGCAAAATACCCTATATGCTTACACGCAATGCAATAGATACTTACTAGTAATATACAATACAATAT